CTCACTGGCTGGATCGTTGGGGCAGCTCCAGGCAAACAGATCCTCCCTCCAGAACAATATGGTGGCAGGATGTCCTCAAGGCCTAGTGAGTCCAACCCTCTTGAATCAGCTAATTTTTCCCTGCCCACGACCCAGGAGTGAGGCCAATCAGGTAAAAGTAACAAGGCAGCAACCAAACTGCTGATATTGCCCCCTGTAATGGTCCTGTGTCCTGGGGGCAGAGGCAGCTCCACCCCCCCCTCCTCACTGAAACTCAGGGAACTGTCAACCCCCGACCGACAAACACAGCTCAGCGAGAAAATCACACAAACCACTGGATGGCATCTTATGCCACAGAGTCCACAAACCGAGGGGAAGAGGTATTCAATCACCTTTTATACCACAAGAACAAACTTGCATTTTTTTGGGTGACTTTATCAGGTCGAAATGTCTCAGGGTGGAACTCATATCAGGTGCAGAAGGCACTGTGCCAGCCATGTCCCACAAACAGCCAAAGGTGAACAAAAATTCATCCGAAGAAGCACTTGCCAAAGAGAAGATGCTCTTCTCTTGCTCCAACATACCCCGCCACCCCCAGACCAGGCAGACAATACCCCGCCACCCCCAGACCAGGCAGACAGGTCCTCGGTTTGACAACTCAGGCACAAGACAGATAGCACTTCCTACAGGTTCCCCAGCACTGCACCGGCTAGGAGCTCTCGTCCCCAATAATAATAATAATAATCCTTGCATTTGATATAGCACCTTATCACGTCTTTGAGACGTCTCAAAGCGCTTCACAGGATACATTGTAAAATGAATTGAGTGTGTACTTTGTGGGCGAAACGTGGCAGCCAATTGCGCACAGAAAGTGTCGTACAAGCAGTCGTGGATTGAGCAACCAAATTCGTCTTTTTTTGTGTGTGGGGATTATTACCACCGGAAAAGCGATGTGGAGCACAGCATTCTGGCCCAGAGACAAGAATACTACCAAGTGAGCCAAGGTGACATACGTACAAATGTAAATAACAATAACGTGTGGGTGGGATGCATGGAAGTCTCATCTTGGTGAATTCTTAAGCACGGTGATGGGTTTCCGCATGTGTCAGATACCCAGCTGACCAAACAGACAACCTGCATTTACACAGCGTCCATCACTGGTCCCAGACCCACTGACTTCTGCTGCAAATCATATTTGCACATAAAGTATGTAACAGTTAATTGAAAGTCATTGGGTTTGGGGGGGAGGGGCTGTCAGTGCTGTTAGGAACCGACGAGGCGAGGCGGAGTGGGACTTGTACACAACCTTCGCTTTGCAAGAGAGAGACCTGAGTTCAATTCCAGGCAGAGGGCGAAACCTTGGGCAAGTTTCCTTACTCCACACAGAGCCTAATAATAATCCTCCAAAACCAAAAACAATAATAAATTGGTCATTTTCAATCTACGACTGTTTGTGGGACATTGCTGTGCGCAATTGGCTGCCGCGTTCGCCCACAAATATACAGTCAATTCACTTTACTGTGTGTTCTGTGAAGCGCTTTGGGACGTCCTCCCAACGTGAAAAGCACTGTATCAAATGCAAGGATTATTATTATTATTATAAGGATTATTATTATTATTATAACCTTTCTTTCCATGCGTTCAGTGTGAAGCTGCCTAGTGATCGGCCAGTTATTGCATGGATTAGATACCTGAGCCCGTGTGAGGGTGCTCCTCGGCTCTGATACGGAATCAGTTGCCCTTTGAGCTCTTGCCCAACGGCAATGTAGCAGCAGAGGTTCTACCCAGGTTCTACTTAGAAGGTTCTCACAACAGATTGATTGATAAGCAGTCTTGTGACGCTATATAGTTGCTGATGTCATCTCTTTTACAGTCATATCCTGTACTAAGTATTCGCGCCTAAGAAATTCTTCTTTGACTGTGCTAACCACCCCCACCCACTGGTTTCGTGTCAGGCCACAGACAAGTGCTCTGAGACACTAACCTGCATGATGGACACTGCGTAAATGCAAGTTGGTCATTGTGAATTCCAACGGTTATTGTGAGTTCAAAGTATGTGTAAACGGTTTTATTTTGTTGGGAGGACACAGTGTCAGGCTGCCGTTTGTTCTAATAAGTATCTACAACATTTGTGCTTCTGTGTGAAGCATCTACAACACACAACCTCATCTTTGCGCCAAAACATCAAGAAAATCTCTGACTAAAAGAGATGGCAGTTTCTCTGAGTCGCTGTCCTGACTGACAATCCCCCAATACATAGATACACTCATTTGACTGTGTGTGAGACATCGCTGTACCCAAATTGGCCGTTGTGTTTTCCTACTTATAGTCACTACAGTTGACACAATTAATCGTAAAGCGCTTTGAGACAGTGACGGTATAGGCACCATAGAAAATGCAGAGATTATTATTATATTCATGTAATTTTCCAGTCAGCATATTAATAAATAATGAAGGTGACAGAATTGGAAGATTTACCGTTGGTTGTAATGACGATGATGGTGGATTATAACCAGGGAATACGGGAACAGGATTAAAACACAAAACGTACAATTTCAGGCACACACACGCATGCACACATACGCACCTCTCCCAAAGGTAGTTATAATTAAGGACCCTAATCCTAACCCTTATTAGAAAGTAAACACAGTTTTGAAAACATTTCGCCTACGATCAGCCACCACAATCCTCCCCAATTAAAGTTTAAGTCTTTCCCAGATGTCCCAGAGGGAAACCATGACAAAGAGCCGTGACGGTCTGTCTAATAACTGGCTGAATTTCTGCACTCACCAAGGTGAGGAATGGACACCCCCATTTCAGGCAGCTCTCAGCATCATACACCCTGACCAGCCAGTGAGGGCAGTGCCCAATGCCAACAACAACAACAACATCACAAAATTCTAAGTGAGGGGTGGGAAGCAGGATTAATAATAAACAGTGATAATAAAACACGATAGACTGAATGGCCTGCTTCCTTCAACAATTCTTTCTTCTCGTATTACACACAGAGAGAAACTCCTGATTATCACTTTACAAATTATTATTATATTAATGTCATTTCCAGTCATTTCAGCATATTAATAAATAATGAAGGTGACAGAATCGGCAGTTTTACTGTTGGTTGTAATGACGATGATGGTGGATTATAACCAGGGAATACGGGAACAGGATTAAAACACAAAACGTACAATTTCACGTACACACATGCACACATACACACGCACCTCTCCCAAAGGCACAGTTAACAATTCTGCTTTTGGTTCAACAAATAATAACATTGCATTTATATATCACCAGAGACTGCTTTTTAAAATAGTTTTGAGCAGGGTTCAAGTTCACCTTTCTGTTTTAAATTGCACCCGTAATCCAAAAACAAAAATTCCAGTCGCCCTCTCTCACACAAGAGATTTAAAAGGACACCAGCAACCAGCACTAATCTTTTAAGGTGGAAGCCAACGGCATCCTTGATTGAATGAAAGGGACAGCGAAGTTTAAGGATCAATGTAAGCAGCAGTTTATGCATTTACAGAATCATACCTGATACAGTCAGTCATTCATATTCAATCTGTCTCTCCCGCAAAGCAAAGCAAAGCTGCCCCATCTCAAGACCTGCAGGATATACTCCATGCAGCACATAGCAGTTGGCTTTAAACCTCCTGTCTGCCTGATAAAGAACTGCTAGGGAATTAGCCGGGCAGCAGCCCGACTGCCAGGGCCGGGCAGCAGCCCGACTGCCAGGGCCGGGCGGCAGCCAGACTGCCAGGGCCGGGCGGCAGCCCGACTGCCAGGGCCGGGCAGCAGCCCGACTGCCAGGGCTGGGCGGCAGCCCGACTGCCAGGGCCGGGCGGCAGCCCGACTGCCAGGGCCCGGCGGCAGCCCGACTGCCAGGGCCGGGCGGCAGCCCGACTGCCAGGGCCGGGCGGCAACCCGACTGCCAGGGCCGGGCGGCAGCCCGACTGCCAGGGCCGGGCGGCAGCCCGACTTCCAGGGCCGGGCGGCAGCCCGACTGCCAGGGCCGGGCGGCAGCCCGACTGCCAGGGCCCGGCGGCAGCCCGACTGCCAGGGCCCGGCGGCAGCCCGGCGGCAGCGGCCCGGCGGCAGC